GGGAGGGAGAGGCAGTCGAGGCTGGCGCACCGAACATACTCAGCGGCTTTGGAGCCTCTGAAGCGGAGATGCTGGTGGCGGGCTTTCCGAACTGAAGTTTCGAAGGCTCCGCGGTTGTTGTTGTGCCGGCCGTGGGCTTGTTGGCATTCGCAAACAGTGAGCCGGGCTGCGTCATCGCAGAGGCAGGCGCCGAAGTGCTGGGCGTCTGTGCCGTGCTGGTGGCGTTGAAGAAGGAGCCTCCGGATGGTGCTGAGGCAGTCGTATTTGTGAATAGAGAAGCCGGCTTAGCGGCTGAAGGGGTAGTCTCGGCAGGTTTAGATGACCCCTGCTGTGCAAAAAGGGAAAGACCGGTCGAGGCGGCCGCAGGAGCGGCGTTTTCTGTAGTTGCCGGCTTCGAACCGAACACGGATGACGGAGACTCAGCAGGCTTTGCGGCGCCAAAGAGAGACATGGCTGGTTTCTGAGGTTGGCTAGCAGTGGAAAATAGGGAAGCAGGTGCCTGGGCTGTTGCCGGTTTGGACAATGAACTGGCCTGGCTGGCGAACATGCTGGGCGGCTGGTCGTCTTTTTTGTCACTCTGAACAGAAGCGAACGGGGACGGGGCGCTCGGAGCCGTCGTGGTAGCACCAAAGATGCTTACCCCACTCGGCGGCTTAGAATTGTTTGCTGGAGGCGCACCAGCCGGTGTTGTGGAATTGAGAGCGAACGTGGGCTTTGGGGGCGTTGCCTGCGTAGTGGACGTAGCGTTCGCGTTTGTGGCACCAAACAAAGAACTTCCCGTGGCGCCACTGCCTCCCCCAAACAGCCCGCCCGGTTTGTTCGCAGCAGTTCCTTGACTAGCTGCCAAAGGACTCTGCCCAAAGATACCACCACTAGAAGTGGCCATCGTCGCCGTCGTCGGTGTCGCCGCCGTCGTCGTCAATGTCGGTGCCGCGGTGCCTGTCGTAGCAGTGGTCGAGGTCAGAGGCGAGTTGCCGAATAGACTAGCGCCCGGAGCTGGGGAACCCGTCACCGGTTTGCTTCCGAATATATTCGTGGTTGAGGGCGTCAGCGTTGTCGAGTTTCCGAAAAGACTTGCACCAGCGCCTCCGCCCAGAGATGGCGTAGATGAAGCAGGTGTGGCGGCGCTCGTGGCTCCAAATGCCGGTTTCTGTTCGCCCGGCTTTGCGCCTGTATTTCCAAACAAACTACCCGAAGCTGGCGTGCCGGAGAAAGCAGACGCGGGACTGCCACCACCTCCACTAGCTGTGTTTCCGAAGGAGAAAGCGGGAGTGCTCTTGGCCTGGGCGCCGAAAAGACTACTACCTGGGGCGGCTGTGGATGTTGTCGACGATCCAAAGAACCCACCGCTCGCCGGCGCAGTAGCGGTTGTATTGTTAACACCGGGTGCGTTATTGGGGGTGGTGTTCGTGGTGTTGTTATTGTTGATGTTGTTGATGCTGGCATTGTTGGGTTGCCCCGAAGAGTTGGGGGCACCGAAGAGGGACATTGTGCAAAGGGATGATTGTTAGCTCGGATCGGATTATTGTGTGTGACGATGGAATGTGAGAGGTCAATGTCAATCGGCGGCGCTCAGAGACACAAGACACAAGCTCATCCCAGGGCTGCTGGGGTTAGAGTATGGCTGGGAATCGACGCGGACGGTGAGTGGACGACCGGACGGACGGGCGGCTGGACGGATCCCTTGCCTCGTGATGGCGTCGATATCGGCGTAAGGTGAAACAGCACAGCGTGTAGTTCGTATTATATATGAGGCAGGAAAAAGGCTCTGGATTTCTCAACAACTCCGTCGCCTTGAAAATATCAACACTTGTCGCCTTATTACCTACAGGCTACAGCTACTTATGCCATCCGTACCAACTTTTTGCGCGACAAGCTCACCCGACCAGGTACTTGACTTACCTTGGTAATAGGCACTGGTACGCGCCGCTACAGCGTGTACTACATGTGGACAGCTGCCTCAGTCCGAACAGGTGGCAGACAAGTGGTTTGGATTCTACATGTTTGCATGTACAAGGAACCTCCTACACCTGGAAGCCTACCGGATATACCCTGTAAAATTTGAAATATCAAGCTTGCGCCACGCACATGGATCCATCTGTACAGCCACGCTGCTGCGTCCCAGGCAGGGTTCATCCATGTGTCTAGGTAGATAGGTACTTCGTACGCAACATCGAGGCTAAGTACCTACATGTACACCGCAGCACTCCTACATTACACTGGAGCTTAGAGTAACTGAAGAACATGTGTTTTCTTCGTAATCTGTAGCAGACTATAGAATTTGACCTAGGCAGTCTAGACCACCTCTACATGTATTTTGGGCGAAGTGCAAAGTATAATCGGGTACCTAATCTTACATACGCAGGTTGGTACACACATGAGTAAAGTACATCCGATAGGTAGTACTTCGTACACATACCTAAGTTTTGGAGGTAGGTACATTGTGTACATTATGTACATGTAGGTACTACGTACATGTAGCGTACATCTCCTATCTTAGTACCCTTTACCCATTGGCCATCCCGACCAGTACACCACCTACATCGATCCATACATCCTGAGAGTGCTTCTCTAGCTTCATCATCCGAGCAGGTCTCACGTCCCCGATCCCCTTACTACAATCCCGATCCTTAGTATCACGCTCAAGAGAAGGTAGTAATTAAAGTACCATCCACTGGGTCGCTCTCCCAATACAGCGTACCCAGCCAGGCCTCACGCAGTCTTCGTTTACATCGGCCCCTAGCAATCCGCCCATCTCTTTCGCAAGCCGCTCTGCACCGAGCCAGTCCATTGGCTACCTCGACAACCGTCTTCTCTTCCTCTGTCGGCCAAGTAAAGCTGGTCCGGCTTCTCTACCCCTCAAGTTGACATCGACCGTCTCGTCTCGCGTGTCACCACGTTTGAGGAGCTTGCGAGCCCAGCGCTGTTCTACATCCTCAGCACCGCTTGGTTCTCCATCACGAGCGTGCGATATCGTAGTTATATCCGGTCACTGCGTTCCCCGACATGTCTAGAGAGCGCAGACCTTCCACCAGTCTCGAGGCGCCCGAGAGGACAGGGACTGAGGATCCTGGTGCGCACGAGTTAGGTCCGCACATCGCCCTTCCGCCGCCTCTTCGCTTGCAGCCCTAACATGCGTCACTACAGAAGCCTCGGATTCGGACGAACACTATTCAGACGCGCAGTCGTCCCCCCGGAATAGCACCGGGGCCGCCTCTCCCATACCTAGAACCCGAGTCGAGAAAGTCGATGACGAGCCCTCCTACGGCGAGGTCCCTGGTACGGAGGCTTATGACAAGCGAACGGAGGATGCCGAGCCTGATGAAATAGCCATCATCCAGGACGAATCGTCGCCGCCTTTGTCCAGCCAGACTGTTGCGCCTGCGAGCATCATCATCCCCAAAACAGTCGTCGATGAGGCAGATGACGTCCCTGGATCTTCGACTCACGGCCATCATGAACATCTGCATCAAGCAGACGCCACGCCCGACATCATTCGCAAGTCAGACGGCACCAGCACGGCCAGCCCCACCCCTGTTTCCCTAGACAACAACATACAAGACACCGGTACGACAACCAAGTCCTCTTGAAATCAACACTGCGATTGACCGTGCCTTCGTAGATGACACGGCCGTAAACCAAGCACGGAAATCCCCGTCGACACGTCAACGGCGGAGATCTTCTGTCGCAAGCTCAGTCGCAAGCCTTCGCGATGAGAAGGCGCATGACGATGACGCCGACGATGCCGATTTTGGTGACGAGTTTGACGAGTTTGAAGCGGGCGATGAAGATGCGGACTTCGGCGATTTTGATGAGGGTTTCCAGCAGGCCGAAGCACCTGCAGCTGCTGAGTTAGTGGCAAATCAGCGACACATCTCTATACCTTCCTTTGTGTGTCTAGTACCCTCCTTAGGTAGCCTTATCACAGCTATACTGACGTTTATGTGCTCAAAGCCAATATTAGATCTTGACGGCCTAGACTCTGAAGACATCCTGGCCGGCACTGAGCCCTATTTGAATGCATTATATCCATCTGATGTACTCGATATTCCGCCTCTCTCCTCACCTCCGAGCGACAATCTTATATTCTTCAATCCGAGGAGCGCGTCGCTGTGGTCACAGTTAGCCGCCCCGCCTCCTCTTCAACCTCCTGATTGGATCCGCTCCCGGATCAGGAGACTCTTCTTAGTATCCCTTGGAGTGCCTGTAGACCTTGACGAAATTCTACCTGCGTCTAAACAGAAAAAGCTGGTCCTACCGTCTCTTCATCGCATTACATCAACCGGTTCACTGCGGACTTCGTCGGAGTCACGTTCTGTATCTCGGTTACGGAAATCAGATACCAACAGATCGTCCGTCTCGGTAGACTCCCAAGGCAAGGAGAAGCCTAGGTCTAACCCGAAACGGCCTTCCGGGAAAGTCTCTTCCCAAATCCCAGCATTCGATCTAGTCGCGGCGAAACAACTATGCGCCACAACAGAGGAGGCCCTGAAAGGCATGACAGACATCGAACTTCAACAACACGTGAGAAAGCTGGAACAAATGGAGGTCTTAGCAAACGAAGTGCACGAATTCTGGAAGGAGCGCACAGATGAAAAAATCGGCGATCGGGAGGCGTTTGAGGGTGTCATAGAAAACCTCGTGAAGCACGCACGGAAGACGAGGAAATAATGAAGGATACCCCCAAAAATGAAATTTAATATAATGATAGTTTAATACCCGTACACGAAAGATTTTACGTTTCAGGGTCTTCATCGTGCTTTCTAATATGGTTATTCTAGATTTACCTTTTATGCTATTTGTCTACACCTTAGAATAAATAGCCATTGATATAGTGAGAGAGGTTTGTTTCATTATATAAAATAAGCAGGTCACATCGTAAAGCACAAGTTATCGTTACTAACCACTACATAAACGGCGATAAAAAGAACATTTTATTTATAAAAGAATAAAAACACATGAAATTTTAGCCAGTGGGGGAATATGTAGAGCAAAATTAATGACCTCGCTGGGGGTCGAACCCAGAATCTCCTGATTATCAGAGATGGCTTATCCGTTTTATCTTCAGACAACCCTTCCATCGTAGTCAGACGCCTTGCCATTGGGCCACGAGGCCGGCCGAGAACCGGTGGTTTTTTTCGAGACGGTGCTAACGAGTCATCATACGCACACCGTTGTTTTAGGCCAATTTTGAAGTCTACCTACTAGGTAAGCATGTAGTTTAGCCCTCTTTTACTCATCTTCTAACGAGACCAGATTGTGTCGCCGGTTCCGCGCTTTTTCGGGGGGTGCAGGCTGTAGTTGTGTGTGTATACTTGGACCGAACACAGAATGGGTTGTCGGGCTACGTGCTGACACCGCCGCCGTAGGGTGGTTTTGCGGATATTTCCGACGGCATACTGGAGTCATGGCTGAGACGGAGCTGTTATCTTAGAGACTTATCGCTTTTTATGAGGCTGTGCCTCTCTCTGAAGCTTTGATGTTTCGGTTGACATAGTACTGGCTGGTTCGCGGGTTTTTCGCCACAACTTCACATAGGATCGACAGCTCGCTTAATATCGACAGAGCAGAATTACTATTTTCTCCTATATTATGTCATGTCCTGTCGAGCTTATATGACCTCTCCTGCGAATAATCCTTAGCTAGTCGCTGGGGCGAGAGCGCAAACTCGATCGGCCTTGAAGCATCATTAAAATGGCAGTGCCCAAATGCGGTATGTCATCCCCAAGTGAGGCGACACCCATACACAGCTGCTAGATATATATATATAGCACGGTGCACATGCCCCCCGCCTTCGAGGACCAGCTTCTGCATGAAGCTCGCGAGCGTGTCATTCGTATTTCCAAGTTTTCTACCAGAGTACTGCCTATTCTTGTTCGCGGGAAGATATACTACAGCAACTGGGAACAAGCCCGAGGCGTCTGAGGTCATCTGCTTCAAGGAGTTGAGTAGACTGTCTAGAGGGACATCTAGAGGGACATATATATAGACATGCCGCTTATCAAGTCTACATGTCTGGGGGCCGAATAACGGGACGTCCCGTTTGATATCGAGGTAATATTAACTTACATGTGATCGCAGAAAGACTTACGCAAGCACTCACCATCTACCTACACTACCACGACGAGCGCGATATACGAGACTTGGGTACACATCGGGAATATAATATACCCCGCGTTTTACTAAAACAATTTCGGCAAATAGTATGCATAGCCTTGCCCGACCATAGCACTGGGAGGAAGATTATGATGCTAATCACGGCATCTAACGGAATGGGAGCTGGCCTTCAGGCTCCGGGGGTCGTGTATAGATGTATGATGCGTCTTTCTTTGGACGGTTGGTCCATGCAAAGATAGGTAGTTAGTTGCCTTCGGGCTTTTATACAACCTGCCACAAACACCGTTGCACAATTTTTGCTCATAGCTAACTACTGGATTTCGGATAGCGCTTTCGTTGCTGTTTGTAGATAGGAGGCACTGTTGCCTGTCAACTCGTAACTAGCATCGAAGAGGTAGAGTATTGGACCACCCCGTTCATGAATTAGTAGTTATGAGCACTTTTCTCTATGGATTGATCATTTCGAAACAATTTCAAATTCGCTGTGCAGCCTTTTCCATGGTTGGGTGTATAATGGTTGTCGTGAGAGACCTACGTGGGGGACTCCGAGATGCAAGCATAAGTGTCACACATATCTACGCATTTCTCTCCGGCATAGTCGGCATAGACAGCAATCACGTAAGATTGATCGTCGAACAAGGCGAATAGTTCGCGCGAAGTTGGATGTATATCTAGCCTCGAGGCGGTAGAGAGATTCTTGCGCCTCGTGCTGGCGATACTATGTCTGAGTAGCCTTTCTGGGTAGGTAGGTAACGAGACCAAGTCCTCCCTTATTCGACATGGTGATTCTGGGTAATCACCGCATTTTTTTGTGCTTCTGCTCTTCTGCGACAGGGCAGCTCCGGAGATCTTGGCTTGAATAAGATACTTGCTTAATCTATCGTTCTTGAAAATATCTAAAAATATGTTAATGGTGTGTAGTATGTAATATGCCGTACGCGTGCTTGCGTGTACTTGTATCATTCAGCGTCGGACAGCCTCGGTCCTTTCTTTATTCTAAGCACAGGTTGCTTATGGCTTAGTACACTACCTACACTTTAGGCATTAGGGAGGTGGCACTTGTCTAAGATCCCGGTTGAGCCTACGATGCAGCCGACGATGATGGCCACTAGAGCGATCGGGCCGTGTCAAGCGAGCCAAGCCCTTATCTGGGGAGCATGGGCACAGTTCTATGCATTTTGTCACGAATGCTCCCGTAGGCACGTTGATATGTAAGTCCGAGATAGAAACAAGTTAATACCTCAGTCCTTTACTTTGTAGTGTACGAAGTACAGTGTATGGAGAAAGATGGCGATATGGCGAGAGAGAGAGAGAGAAAAGGAGGCTACGAAGAACTTGAATTGGTACCTACCTACACCAAACTTGCCGCCCGCAGAGTGGATCAATGCAAGTAGTTGGCGACGTCACGTCTTGGGATGCGCTGATTGGTGGATGCTGTGCAGCACTCAGGCAGTCTCCGCCTATGAGATGCGAAGATCTTCGGCAAGGGTCTTTTAGTGCCCATGCGAAGCGCTCTGGCCAACGGCCCCCGCCCGTCTTCTGCAAGTTATTTGTCCAATCACGGTCCTTCTCCCTGCTCTCCGCTAGTCGCCAAGAGGGCCCCCCTGTGCTACCCCTGCCGCTCTTGAGCCAGTGAACCAACCATCCATTCAGCCGTCGTCCGCAACCTCATCACAAAGTCACCAATCACCATCACAACTGGCTGCTGGACTTGTTGGTTGGCCGGCTCAGTCGGGCGTGAGGATGGTAGCGGCGACGCCATCTCGATACCTGGGTACGAAGTAATGTCTCTTGTGGATGGTCTCTCCCTACCGTGGTTGGATACTTTGAGCCAACGGCCGAGAAGAGGTATCGCTCTCTCGGCGTTGGGGAGTCAGGGACCATGTTCTGCGATTCATCTGATGGTAGTACCTACACTACCTCACTCACCCGATATATCGCCTCCCTGCTCGTTTTCTGTCGACAAAGACTTTGCCGTGACTGTTCTACCCTGCTTGTCTCGTCTCGTCTATCCTGTGATTCGAAATCTGCAGCTGGTTTCCAGCAGCTCGTGAGGCTACCGCCGATCTGCCAGGTGATCAGGGAGTTTTCGATTCAATCAAGTCATGTCATTGTGCGGCACCACCCCGTTACCTACGGCGCCTACCCGCACTAGACTTGCCCACTCGAGATTGGGGGTTTTCTAGCCACCCTATCAGAGGCTTTCTTTCGAACGTACCGCCGACACCCCGGCTCCATGTAAGTGATCCCATTGCATGCTTGCGCTCATCCCCACTGGCCATCTGAGCAGAAGCTTGAGAGAAGGTCGAGTGGTCTCGTAAGACGGCCGAAAGCGCTTATTCAAAACCTATACCTTCCTCCCGTCTCCGGCTTCCAAGATTTTCTCTTTTCGATAGCTGGTCTCCATACTCTTTTTTTCTTCTCCAAGTTGCTTCCCCCTACCTGGGATCGTATATCAAGAGACGACTTGGTTCGTGGAGCACTTCTTATTACACAGGTAGTCAACTCGCAGGGACGAGTGATTGTTCTTCTCCTTGATCGTATTACACATACACACACAACTACAATGGCGCCACAAGACGAGAGGAGGCGCCCTGCGGCCCTCAAATTGACACCGTCACGATCATCGTCAACAGACGGGTCGTTTACCACGACATCCTCGTTGAAGCCGCCGAGGACCCCTAGATTTGCAGAGGCCACCACAGTGCACTCGCCCATCGAGCCGCCGACGAGCAATCCATTTAGAGACCCGGGTGAATCTTCGCGGGCTCAGCCGGCTGACGTAGGATTTGGCTACATCAATGATGATACGCGGACACAAACAGTCAACATGCCCATGACACCGAAATCACCGCTTAAGAGTGCCATGAGAATACCCGGCACACCAGCAAGAAAATTTGAAAACCCGTTAAGCCCAACATTCAGAGAAGAGGATATCCTGGAAGCTAGAGAAAAGGATACGGAAGCAGCCCAAAAGAAGGACGTGGTACGTTTCTATGCGCAGCATCGCTCTGTGTGATTTCGCTAATCACATGTGTATTAGGGACTGAAATATCGAGTCCGAATGGCTAAATTCGCCCTCCGGGGCATCAGCTTTAGCTGCAGCCTGATCATTATTTCTCTTCTTGCAGTCTCCTTCAACATTTTCCGTACGACAAATCATCTTGCGGCACAAAGTGGCTTGCCCGCCTGGGCAGAAAACACGCAGCTTTGGCCCCAGATCGTCGTTCTTTCGGTCTCTGGTGTCAACCTTTTACTTTGTATACTCATCTTTATCGGTTATCTCAGAGGAGGCCATCATCGAGCTGAGAAAGTCGGTGTCTACTACACGCTGTTCGCGGTTGGGTGGTTCATTGCTTCGTCAATCCTATGGGCCGCCGCCGCCGGTATTCTACAATTCACCCGCAACAACAGCAACAACAAGGACATGTGGGGATGGTCCTGCGTTGAAAACAAAAGAGCTGAGGTCTTCTCGGAGAAGGTTGACTACGCGCTTATCTGCCGACTTCAGGTGAGTCTACATTGTCCCTTTTCAGTGAACGAAATGTGTATGTAAAAGCTGCTAACTCCTGTGTCAAAACTAGAATTGGTCATTGATCTGCGCTCTCATCGAAATCGTTCTCGACGTGTTTACGATCACGCTCTACAGCATTGTCTTCTACCGATATATTACGAAGCGGAAGTTGACCAAGTCGATGGACATGCGTGACCGCGCCCGCTCGGACTTGTACCTGGCGCAGCTACGCTCGCAATCCGCCCCCAACACACCCGGCTTTGGTCCGAAGTCGCCTTCTTTCTCCCAATACGCCATGTCGCCACGATTCCCTCCTTCGACGTACCAATCCTTCTCTGAGATCTCCGAGGCGCCCAGCTTCACTCCCGGCCCTCAGGTCGCCGAGCCGACGTCTTCTTTCGCGAAGCCGGCACACCCAGCCAAGCCCGCCGAGTTCAAATTGCAAGCACCGCCTAGCAAAGCGCGCTCCGCCACTCCCAAGATGA